GGTGGAATAAGAAGAAAAGCTACAGGGAAAAGGGAGATGGGGGTGGGGGTGGAAGAAAGGCTAGGGTAGGGGTGGGGGTGGAAGAAGAAGAAGCGTACAGAATGTCTCTTTGCTTTTTTCTTTTTCTTTTTTTAACTTATTTTATTTGTCATTCTTATTTTGATGATTTTTTTCTCCTTATTTTAATTATTTCTTCTTCAAAATCTTCATATGCACGCTCCTTGGTCGCGTGAATTACACACACTTTGTCCAGCTCAACCATTTTATTGCCACATGTGCTTGGTCAACGGTCAGAGGGGTTTAAAATATAGATTTTGAACAAGTTAAAGTGTCTGGATGAAAAAAAGTGAAGTAGGAGGACCGACATGACAAAGTGGTACAAGTATAGGTGCCATTTAGGCCATTCTGCCTTTTTTTGTGCTTGTAAGTTAGTCTAAAATGAAAGTCAATGAGTAAAAAATTAGGATGGGGTGATTAGTCGAGGCATGATGTTGCTTCAGCTTATCGAGAATATAACACTCGCTAAAAAGCTGTGGAGGTTGAAAATTAGGATAGAAGGTTAATAAGTAGTCGAACGTTTTTCTTTTTCATACTAATAGTATTAGTGTTAGTCTTCTATTTTTTCGTTTTTAGATTTCTATTACTATCTATTTCTTTCACTTCGATTTTCTTATGACAAAATTACATAATAATGCACTCCATAAGTTGACCTTGCATTATTTTAGCCCACTTACAAGTTTGCAATTGGGCCAACACCCAATCCAAATAACTAACAAAATCGAAAAATTCAATTTCTGAAATTCAACTCAAATCTACCTCAAATCTGCTCCAAATCACTTCAAATTTGAGTTTTGAACTTCCCTTAACGATCCCAATCAATAGGGCCAACACCCAATCCAAACAACTAACAAAATCGAAAAATTCAATTTCTGAAATTGAAGCTTCGAATGACCTTTAATGGTGACTTCAAAAATAATAATTCTCTTAAGTGGTATTTTTTCTTCTCATCTTAATAGTGATTATCAACTTTGAATCTGGAAGGAGAATTGAAGAATATATATAATGATAGAGAAACTTTGGGGTGCAAAGTCGTGAAAGAGGAAGAAGAAGAAGAACGAAGAAAAGAAAAAAATAGGGTGGGCTAACTGGTGAAAAATAATTTTCAGATTATGTACAACCTGGGCCATATCAGGTAAGGGCTTCAAACGTGGGCCATTTTTTGATGGACTGTTGGGCCAAGTGACAAGGAGCGTAATTCCCCCTTTTCTTATTATGTTGCTATTATTATTGCTTGTTGCTATTGCTTCTTTTTTATCTTTTCTTGAGCCAAGAGTCTACGCGGAGTAATCTTTCTACCTTCTTAAGATAGGGGTAAGATTTGCGTACACACTACTCTCCAGGGGCGGAGCCAGAGTGTGGAATACGGGTTCGGCCGAATCCAGTAGCTTTTGTTCAGACTCTATATTTATCTTAAAAAATTCATTGAATGCATACAAATTATTAATTTAGAACCCAGTAACTTAAAAGGATTACAAAAACGAACCCACAAGTTTCAAATCTTGGCTCCGCCTCCGCTACTCTCCCCAGACTCCACCTATGAGATTATCATGATAATGGAGTAAATATAGGTTAAATGTTTATTTGGGGGTTTTACCTATATAATGGAGTAAATATTGGTGAAATGTTTTCCAGCATGACTAGAGTATATATGGGGAAAGGTAAAGGTATTATCGGAACTCGCATTCATTAATTATTTGAATGTAGGTTCTTTTGGTAGGTTTAACTTGTAAGTTATCTTTACAACAAAATATTACAATTGCTAAATATATATTTTATATCTTTCATAAATAAATACATATATCTCAAAAGGGACGAAGTTGTGAAGTGAAGCAACTTAAGTATATTATATATATATATATATATATATATATATAACGATGAAAAAAGACATTTGGTCGGTTAAAGAGAAAACTGAAAAAGCAAAACTAATCTATTTTCAGAAACATCATGTACCAATAAGTGTCGATATTGATCATTAGTATAAGAAATTATTGGTTTTAAGTCAGCATAGACTAGTCCAGACGAGATCAACAGTTCAATTAGAGAAAAGTTAAAAACGCGAGATGACCACGTGGCATCAAGAAATTAGATAATAACTTTATTCGCACAAAATATTTTCACTAAATCGTATATAATTATATATACTAATTTACCATGAAAAAATTGTGGTTCTGTCTAGAAATTCTGACATCAACACAACTCAAGGGAA